ATAGGAAAGGAAAACCCAACAGGGCTTGAGAACTATATAGGGAACAGAGCAAGAAGAGAGAAGAAGCAAACATGCTTACAAGAATTTGGGCCCAGTTATTAGGATGCTATCTACAGCAGAAAGAGGGCCAAAGGTGGTGTCAGGAGAAAGATGTCAAATTTAGTTTTAAATATGTCTATTTGAAGTATAACAAGACAATAAAAAACAAAGGCTCAAAAGCCATAGGAAATATAGAGGTATAATTCAGAACTTAGGACAACACTAGAGATTTTGATAAGTGGGCCAGCCTCAGCCAATTGGTGAGTTAAAGCTCTGAGAATAAATATCTTCTACAAAAGAAATCAGGAAAAGGCAGAGAATTGAACTGAAATAATTAGGGAGCAGAAAAAGGAATGGAGAGCAGCAGAACACCTATGTCCCACAAGACTAACACCAGATGCACAATCTAGAAGTCAAACTTCATAGTACTGCATATTCTAGTTTGCCTTAATAGCTGAATTTCCTGTCAGAAGGAACTTGCTCTTAAAAAAGCCCTATAGACAAAAGAGGCAGGGCACAAACAATAATGTTAAAATAGTTTCTTGAGGCATATTTACATAGAATAAAATGTACAGCTCTTAAGTGCTCTTTCAATGATGAAGAATCAGCTTAACTGCTTGCTCAATTATATAAAATGGGTTCTGACAATTGCATTGCCTGTGTAACTGCCACCACAAACAAGAGGTAGGAAATATCCGTCATTCCAGAGAACTATTTCAATTCACCCCTCTTGCCTTCTGTCCTCTTATTTTCTGAATAAGAAAACCCTGAATCTCGGGTTTGACTAATGTTTAAGTGAGTTGTTATTCTTTGGTATCTGGGATTCTTGCCTGTTCCTGAGCATCATCCACGGTTCTTTGTTTTTACTGAGCAGCAGTATTCCACTGCACACACTGTTTACCCATTCTCTTGTGGATGAATACTTGGCATGTTCCAGGTTTGAGCTGTTAAGACTAAGGTGGCCACAATCATTCTTTCCTTATAAAGTGTTTTGGGGATATATGTTTTCATTTCTCTTGAGACAGTACCTCAGAAGAAACTGCCAAAGGCCTCTAAAATGTTCACATAAGTTTACACCCTCCCAACAATAAAGCTCTAGTTGCCATAAAATAGCACCCCCTTTGGTACTGCCAGTGCATTTGACTTCAGTCCTCTCAGGGGGTGTGGAGGGCATCTCACTGCAGTGACGATGAATGATAAATAAGCACCTTTTCATGTTTTTATTGACTATTCTTTTATCTTCTTTTGTGATGTACCCAAGTCCTTTGTTTTTGTTAGTGCTAGTGCTGGAACCAGGGCCTCCATAACCTAGGCGAGCATTCTACCACTGAGCTATACTGCTAGTTGTTTAAAAACAACTTTTTTTTTTCTTTTCATTTTTCTTTTATTATTCATATGTGCATACAAGGCTTGGTTCATTTCTCCCCCCTGCCCCCACCCCCTCCCTTACCACCCACTCCACCCCCTCCCGCTCCCCCCCCTCAATACCCAGCAGAAACTATTTTGCCCTTATCTCTAATTTTGTTGTAGAGAGAGTATAAGCAATAATAGGAAGGAACAAGGGGTTTTGCTGGTTGAGATAAGGATAGCTATACAGGGCATTGACTCACATTGATTTCCTGTGCGTGGGTGTTACCTTCTAGGTTAATTCTTTTTGATCTAACCTTTTCTCTAGTTCCTGGTCCCCTTTTCCTATTGGCCTCAGTTGCTTTAAGGTATCTGCTTTAGTTTCTCTGCATTAAGGGCAACAAATGCTAGCTAGTTTTTTAAAAACAACTTTATTGACTGAAAGTTTACAGATTATAAAATCCATCTGCGATAGTATACAATTCAATGATTTTTAATAATTTATTGTGTTTGCAATCATCACCATAATCCAGCTTTGGAATATTATTATCTCATACTATTTACAGTTAACTTCCATTCCCATCGTCAGCCCTAGGTAAACACTAACCTGTTTTCTGCTTCCACAGATTTGTCTGTTCTTCGTATTTCATATAAATGGAGTCATACAAGCTGGTCTTTTGTGTCTAGCTACTTTCACTTGGTATAACGTACTTGAGATTCACATATAGCATTCAGTCATTTTTATTGCTGAGTAATAGTTCTTTGTAGAGTCACATCACATTTATCTATTCAGTAGCTACTTCGAGGGTATTATGAATAGTGCTGCTATGAATATCTGTATACAAGTCTTCATGTGGATGTATGTTTCCATTTCTTTTGGGTAGATCCCCAGGGACTTAGTAGATTATGTGATAAATTTGTATTAACTTTTTAAGAAACTGCCAAAATGAGCCAGGTACAGTGGCCCACACCTGTGATCTAGCATTCAGGAGGCAGATGGGAGGATTGTGAATTTAAGACCAGTCTGGGCTATGTAGAGAGTTCAAGGGCAGCTTGAGCTATACAGTGAGACCCTGTCTCAAAAACTAAGTGCAGTCAGGCACCTGTAATCCTAGCTACTTGAAAGGTGGAGATTGGGAGGATCATGGTTCCAGGCTAACTCTGGCAAAAAGTTTGTAGCATACGATCTCAATCAATGGCTGGGCACAGTGACACACGCCTGTCGCTCCAGCTATGTGGGAAAGCATAGACAGGAATATCATGGTATAGGTTGGCCTGGGCATAAGGAGGACACCCTATCACAAAAATAACCAGTATATTAAAAAAAAGTGTTGGGGGCATGGCTCAAATGATAGTACACTTCCCTGGCAAGTGTAAAGCTTTGAGTTCAATCCCTGGTACAGCCAAAGTGGGGGAGAAAAAGGGCTGGGGAAGTAGCTCAGAAGGAGAGTGCTTGCCTAGCCTGGGTAAGGTGCTGGGTTCAATCCCCAGCACCACAAACAGACAACTGAAGTCTTACCAAACTGTATTCCAAAGCAGTTGCACCATTTTGTATTCTGGGAAGCAATGTGTGAGGATTTCTGTTCCCTCCATCCTCATCAGTATTAGTTACCATCTGTTTTAAATTGTGCCCATTCTAGTGGCTGTAAAGTGGCATTTCAGGGTTTTAATTTGTAAGTTGCCCTACTACTGATTTTGCGTATCTTTTCATATGTTATTGGCTATTTGTATATTTTCTTTCATAAAGCGTCTATATAAATATTTGGCCCAGTTTTAATTTGGTTGTTTGTCTTTTTGTTGAGTTGTAAAACAGTTCTTTATAGATTCTGAACTATTTCCTTTGTTAGAGATACACTGCAAAATCTGTGACTTGGTCTATTCATTTCAATGGTGTCTTTTGATGAACATAAATTTAAATTTTTTATGAAGTACAAAATATGAATTTTTTTCTTCTATGATTCATACTTTTTGTATCTGTATAAGAAACTTTTACCAATCCCAAAGTCACGAAGACACTCTCCTGGGTTTTCTTCTAAAAGTTTTATTGTATCATAAAACTTGAACTAGTTTTTATGCTTAGGCTTTAATCCATCTGAAATTAACTTTTGTATATGGTTAATTTTCCACATACAAAAGAAAAAAGTACTGGGGAGCTTGTGCATGCTAGGTAAGCTTTATACCACTGAGCTAGGCCTCCAGCCCTCCCCCAATCCCTGACCAGGTTTATTTTTCCATCTGAGTATCAACTTGTTCCAGCACCATTTGTTAAAGACACTTTCCTTTCCTTACTCAATTGATTTGGCATGTTGGTTGTAAATCAAGTTGACCAGATATGTGTGCATCTATCTCTGAACTTTCTATTCTGTTACAATGATCATTTGGCTGTCTTTATACCAGTACCACACCATCTTGATTTCTGAAGCTTTATAACAAGTCTTCAAAATCCTATCTTCCAAATTTGTCTTTTTTTTTTAATGTTGTCTGGCTAACTACAGCATTTGTATCTCTAGATATTTATTTTAGAATAAGCTTGTTAATAAGCTCATTAATTTCTTGATTGTACTGAATCTAGATACCAATTTACAGAGAATGGATAAATCATATCTTTATAGCATACATTGTGACAATCAATCCATGTACATAGTACATTTCATCAATTATTTTAGGTTGCCATTAATTTCTTTCAATGATGTTTTGTAGTTTTCAGTGTTGAGGACTTGCATCTTTCAATAGATTTATTCCAAGGAGTCTAATTTTTTAACATCATTATAAACAGAATTTTAAACAATTCCATTTTTTATTCCTAGAAAAACTTAATATTATAACCACCCTGAACAAAATATACAAAATATGTGGAAATTCTTTTTAACTGTACCTTATTTTCAAGACTAGGACACAGCAAATAATTTTGGATAGGATAAATTCTGTATTTATTTACAAACTATACTATTATATAAAACCTACAATGTTCTAGACAGATAAACACTATAATAATGCTCAAAGTAAAAGTTGTGCATGTGGAGTACACTACTGACTTTCATTGAGTTTCTATTGGTGCTCTAACTTTAGTCAAGGAATAGCCATATATACACATACATATTCACATACTGGCATATCTATCCTAATACATACCAAATTAAATATATTTTTGAAGACTCGACAGACATGACAGAGCCACCTTCTGGTCGGGAATGTACCTAATTTATTCAGTATCTATTTAGAATTTTAAAAGTTTGTCTTTTTTTTTTTTTTTTTGTGATACTAGGGTTTCAACTCAGAGCTTTGTGCTTACTAGGCAGGTGCTCTACCACTTGAGCTATGCTTCTAGCCCTAAAAGTTTGTCTTTAGGACATATGTTTAAAAATGGGAAGTTTATTTTTATTAAGTTTCTTAAAGAAAAAGAATTGTAATCCTCATAGAGGAGATAAATAAAATTTCTTGAAGTTATCTGTAATGACATAATTACCACAGTCAGCTGATTAGATCTCCATCTACCACTTCTGTGCTATGCACATGATGACTTATTTAGGGTTTTGGAAAACTCATTATTTAAGCAAGAAGAGCAAGAGAGGATTAAGAGAATACCACGGTATAAGAGGTTTCTGAATATCTACCTCCATCTTCACAGTCTTCAGGAGCTTTGGCTTTCTTACAGAGCCGAGGATCCAGCCAGGTAGTTGTTTTGGTATTATGGCTGTAGAATAAAGCCCTCAATTAGAAACAGAACAGAAAGAGGGATAAAAGTATTTCAAAAGCAAAAATTAAAAGTGACTTAAAAAGTATATGATGTTGGAGCATTTATTTCCCACAGGCTCCATTTGTATGCCTTAAATTCAACAATTCCATTATTCTCAGTCTATTACTTTAAAACTGCCATAAAGGAAAGGTAATGCTAGAGGCACAAATTTGAGAACGAAGACTTTAAAGGCAGGATCAAATGACAAGTGTGGAATAACTTATTTTAGCAGTCAAAAATGTTTCGAAGGGTGGGCACATGGCCACACACTGCACATTATCTAGCTAGCAAAGCCACACTGCTGCCTAAGTTCTTTCCTCCTTCCCTTCCAAAAAATACTCTATTTCTTGAGATCTATGATATGTATGTACTGTACTGGGGCTGAGAACACAGAGACAAATGATCAGACAGAGCTCCTGTCTTTCCAGGGATTCTTTAAGATAAAATAAAAACAAAAGTTGTAAGTGACTGTTTCGGCAACATGCAAGTAAAACCTATGGGCATGATTAAATTCCGTTCTACAAAACTATGTTTTCATCAGCATGGAACACATGGGAAAAAAAAGGTAGAATAGTAAGCTTCTGCCACTGCCCTTTGTATGAAGCAGGCCAACTGCTTTCAGAGAGCAGGGTGTTTCATTTCATTATAGGCCGCAATGAGTCAGCTTCAGGGCAGGTCACCATGCTGTGTGAAATGAGTCTATCACAGTTCAAACTAGACAGACAATGCTAGTTTAAGTCTCTGAAATACAAGGATATTATCGAAGAAAAAAGTTACAGAAGAAAATATATTGGAAGGCAGCAAAATGTAAATTAAGGTTATTATTGAAGTACGATGAGAAAAACAATTAATGTGAACAAGTTATCTTTCCTAGATATCTTTAACATGACATAAACTCACACGGGAGAGACCCTGTCCAATCTTAGGAAATAAAAGCCAATGGCTTCAGCGAATAAATCATCTTCCATACTTTCTCTACTCCCTGAGTGACTTACAGAGCTAGGCAGCCATTGCTAGTAGGATACCAGTTAGCAGACCGTGGTGGAAACACTTTTTACTGCAGGCTGTAAAGTGCGCAATCTATATAGGAAAAATCGAATGCTTCTACAACAAAGTCTATGCTATCCATTCTCTCCCAGAAGATAAACCAGTTAAATCAGTTTTAGCAAAATGAAAGCAATCAGAACTCAAGGATGCCTTGGGGAACACAGACCATCAGAAAAAACAAAACAATAACAAAAAACCCCATGGAAGTATCTTGCTAAACCAAACTCAAAAATTTTATTGGTAAATTAGCAGGCATAGGCAATCTGCTAGGATTTTACCCACTATTAGCCAAGGTAAAGGAATGCCCATTGGGGCTATTTTGAAAATGTAATGACTAAAGATTATTGACTTACATTAATATTCTTTTCTTATAGTTACATATTTTAACAGCAGCAACGAACACCTGTTAGTGAATTAGCATAGCAAACAAAAAAGCTTTATCTAGCAGTAATATTCAACTGCATTTTAGATGTTAACACACCTTGCCCAAGATATGGTTTGCAAAAATTTTCTCCTACTCTGTAGGTTGCCTTTTCACACTGTTGATGACTTCCTTTGCTGTGCAGAAGTTTTTAAGTTTCATGTGGTTTCATTTGTCTATTTTTGCTTTTGTAGCCTGTGCTTTTAGTGTCATATCCAGATGTCCTTGCTAAATTCAGTGTCATGAAAGCCTTTCCCATATGTTTTCTTCTAGGAGTTTTATGTTTCAAGTCTTATGTCTTTAATACATCTAAATAATTAATTTATCTATAAAGACATTTCTTTTATAAACTGCCCTCGTAATTTACTAACTTATCTGTGTATGTGCAGGGTGAAGTATTATCAGAGTTAATGTTTCATAATCTGTTGTTTAAAGATATGTAAGCCACTTCAAGTGACTATGTATTTTACTTCAGGGTTTAGTTCTAATTTATCTCTAAATTATACTTGAAAATCCTTCAAGTTGTTCATAGAGAAGAGCGTACCTGGTTGTGTTGTTTTGTGTAATTCTGGTCATTAATGCTCATGTAAGTATACACATGAGAATATACTGTATATAGTAAAAAGAGTACCATGTATTCAAAATTGATATCTTTTAAATACTAGAATCCTAGTTGGTATAGCTAGATATTCAATCTATGGGAAGGACGTGAACTGTGACCATTTGAGGAAACAGATTCAAATCCCCCACCCTTAATTAACTTCTGAGCATATGTCCTTTGAGTTTAATGCCCAGCCCTCAACATTTTTACTGCTACTTGTTATATTCTATATTTTCACTACATCAATATGTACCTCTGAACAAACTGCTTTAAAGATGAGAATTACAGCTGTATGAAAATATAAAAATTCTTAATAATGAAACTTTGAACAAATTATTTGCATATTATTATTCTCTGGTACAAAAATATTCAATTTCAGGTTAATGTAATCATGTGGTATTCAGTGTCTCTGGGAATATTTTATTTGTGGTGTTTTTCCATAAAAATAGTTTATTTTTTATGTCTTCTGTTGTACCAATTACGCAGAGGATCAGTGATATTTTCTTTCCGTGTTATTTAACTATATTGTTGGAATACATCAAACCCAAACTTGGACTAAAAATACTTAGCTCAGATAATAATATGCACCTCCCCCATGATAATTCTTGAAATGCTCATTAAGCTGGACAATCTACCTAAAAGTTGAAAAATTTTAAAAAAGCATTTATTCCTTTCATTTTTTGACATGATGAATCTATTTTAAATCTTCTTGCTTTATAAAACTAGAGTCCAAATATACTATTCCTTTATCCAAGTCACATAAAAATGAAATGCCATTCAGAGAAAGAATCAGATTAAGAGTCAACTGTTCTTTATGAAAAGTATTTTTAAAGAAAGAAAAAGAAATGAAGGTCTTGTGAAATAGGCACACATCCAGAATGAGGTTAAAACTGTTTGAGGCAATCCCACACTGACGTGCCCGTCAGAGGGATGCGGATGTCTGCTTACTCAATGAAATAGATCATTCCTGTGTCAGTGTAGGCCATTTCCCAGTTCTTTGGCAGTGGCTCCAGATTCTCGTCTCTCATCATGTAATTTCTGAAGTCCATGGAGCTACTTGTTTGGTTGTAACTTGGAACCGTCTTCATCCAGTCAGACGACTCAGAATGCCTCTCTCTGTTTTCTGCCATTGTTCAAAACAGAATAGCATGAAGACCAGGTAAAGGTGTGCTTGCATTTAAACAATGCCTTCATCTCTAACAAAAGGCCAAATGCACATGTATGCATATAATCTCTACTTTCAGTATGCATATAATGCATACTGAAAATGTACTTGTAATTCTGTCTACATTCTTCTATTAATTTTGAAATAAAATGTAAACATCATCAATGCTTTTCATTTTCTGTTTGCTATTAATCCTGTGCAGCACCTCTGATGCCAGTGTGGAAGCAGCAAACAGCACGACTGGAACCTTTCAGTACCAATCCTATGCACAGAGGCACAGCAGCCCTCATACAGTCCTTGCATGTCAGACTCTATTCTATCTTAAGTGCTTAACATATATTAACTCATAATCCTCACAGCAACCCTACTATTACCGTCCTCCTTTTACAGATTGAGAAAACTAAGCCACAGAGAGGTTAAGTTAACTTAGTCAAGGTTACATAGCCATTTAATAGTAAAGCCAGGATAAAACCTAAGTGGTCCATGCTCTTCACTGCTAGACTAAGCTGCTTCATACACTTGTAATACAGGCCTTTAGATAATATTTATTTAAAAAATAAATATACTCAGTAGACTTCCTATTGTTAAACATAATTCTCTGGTAATATTAAAATCTTTTCAGAGTCCCAAAATCTGTAATTTAGACAATCCTCCCATAGTAAAATTTGGTTACTCTCTAGGGAGCCCACAGTTCATGCACTTAAACTTGTTTCTAGAATTTAAAAGATGATACATAACATCAATGTCACAACTTCAGGCCATACCTCTGAATGAGTGTTTAAGAAAAGGCCTTTGAAATCATCAGCTATCATTCCCTACAGTACTTCGACTCCAACCATCTTTTATTCAACCCAGTCACACAATTCACTCATCTTCCTACTCACTGTCTTTCACTGTTCTTCAACCTTTACCCATGTCTCCATGTCCCTCTTGCCCAATTTAAATTCCATGATCAACCACTATAATCACTTACTGTAAATACTCCTGATACCTATGTCCCTAACTAACATCATCAGAGTTGCTACTCCATGGTCTCTAGGCCAACACAGAGCTGACCACAGGCAAAGCCAACTAACTCACTCTAAATTCAAGATCTCCAACCTCAGTGGGCATTTAATGATACACGACAATCACAGCACACTTTAGTCCATTCACTCTGATACTCCTCTGTAACTATCTCATACCTTCCTTTTCCTTAAATCATCTACAGTAGTCCCCCTTCTCCATGGAACCATCTTCTAAGACCCCTCCCCCCCCACACCCCATGGATGTCTGAAAGCATGGATAGTACTGAACCCTACATACACAGTTCTGTTTTTTCCTATAGATACATACCTATGATAAGTTTAATTTATAAACTAGGCACAGTGAGAGATTAACAGCAAAAACTAAAATATATTCTGTAACAGAAGTTCCACAGATGTTGTCTCTCCCTTGCTGTCTCAAAATATCTTAGCACACAGTTATATTTTCACAATTGGCTGGGGGTAACTAAAACCATAGAAAGTGACACTGCAGATAAGGGAGGACTATTCACTTCGTTCCCCTTATCCTTAATCTGTGCTGACCTCATTTCCCATTTCAGTGAGAATACAGAAGCAAGCAGAAGAGAACTTCCACAACCCCCCACCTTCCCATCTACACAGCAATTGGGCCCATTTACTCCACCACTCCCTGTAAACGCTGAAGAATGTCTGACCTCCAATTATAATTAATACCCCATCTTGCCTACAGCAGTTCTCCTATTCTTCCTGTACCACCTATGTATGAGATCATATCCATCCACATAAAAACATGGCATTTCTCCATTCTTTAAAAAGAAAATAAACAGTTCTCTGGCAACCGTTCCATTTTTCTCCTCTATACACCAAACCACTTTGTGACTGCTACCTCCACTTCTACTCCTCCATTTCTCTCTGGATCTCACCTATTTAGGCTTTTGAACTTCTATTAGTAAAACTGCTCTCACCAAAGTCATCAATAATTTCCATATTGCTAAATTCAATGATCCATTCTCAGTTCACATTTTTTTTTCTTGGTGATACTAGGGATTGAAATCAGGACTTGGTGCTTGGTAGGCAAAGTGATCTACCACTTGAGCCACACCCCAGCTTTTTTGCTTTAGTTATTTAGATAGGGTCTTGTGCTTTTGTCTAGGACTGGCCTGGAGCTTAGATCCTCCTACCTCTGCCTCCTGAGTACCTGGTATCACAGCTGTGTACCACCATGCCTGATTTGTTTTTTTTGAGACAGGGTTGTACTAACTTTTTTCGCCTAGGCTAGCCTTAAGCCATGATTCTCCTATCTCCACCTCCCAAGGAGCTGGGATTACAGTTATGAACCACATGCCTGGTCCTTTCTTACTTGAACTATCAGTAGTGACTCACATGGTAGGTTATTTCCTTCCTTTTACACTCAATAACTTCCTGCCGATACCTCTTGTTCATGCCTATGCCTCCTACTGCCTGTTGCATGTTACTCTTCTTCTCAAAGTGCTATCATGGTGCCTCATCTCAAAATAAAAATCAAAATACTTATAAGGACCTGCAAGCTCCTAGCTAATATACATTCTGTCCCTCCCCATCACTGTCTGACTGATCTCATTGGCTACTACTGTATCCTATTGGCTTCCGTCCCAACCACACTGGTTTCTTTGTTGCTGTCTGAACATTCCAGGCATTCTCCCATTTCAGGGCATTGGTACTTACAGGACCCTCTGTTGGGAATACTCTTCTCCATTATTGCTGAGCTTACTCATTTGTTTCAAGTCACTCTATCTAAAATTACACACTTTGATCATCTCTACTTCTTAACTACCTCCTCCTCTGCTTCATTTTTCTCTTTACACCATCACTCTACATATGTTATTCACTTCCATTGGCTCGTTATGACTCCAGTCAGAAGGTGAAGTCCATAAGGACAGGGGCTTTGTCTGTTTTGTTCACTGCTTTATTCCAACATTTAGAATAAATGGCTAGCACTTAGTAGCCTAGCAGATGAATGAAATACATGGTTTATTTTCTATGCAGAAGAAAAACCAGAACTTAGAAGGCATCCAATGCAGAAATCAATCTGGAAGGGAGCTATAGTCTTGGGAAATAAGTACACTGGCTGAAAGCAACAGCAGCTATATGATCAGTAATGCCTTTCTCAATACAGTTCCAAGTGATCAAGTAAAGGGCTTTGCCTAACAGCCAATGACTTGGGAAGATGTTTATATTATAAATCCTCTTGGAAAAAAATTAGTATTACTGCATAGCATATGTCATTCTATGTCAGTAGTCTTTTGGGTTAATTCTTCAGCAAGATATAAAATAATATACATATTGATATATACAAATAAGTCACTACCTACCCTCTCCCTACTTTCTCTCCCCAACAATTTTCTGATTTTTCAAGGCAGGATTTTACTCCCTAAAAGCAACACATAAGCACTTTCCCCCCAATTTTAAATAAGTTAATTATAATCAGTATTTAATCAGAAAAGATGAAGTATCTTTAGTTAGGCATTTTGTTACTATTTTATTTAAATATAAATATTTTCTCTTATAAAGGAATAGAAAGCCAAATATAAGTATCCTATGGTGTCTGTACACAAGAGGTAGTATATAAGCTAGGCATGGAGGAACACACATGCAATTTCAGCACTTGAGAGGCTGAGGCAGGAAGATCATAAGTTGGAGGCCAGCTTGGGCTACATAGTGAGATTCTGTTTTGAAAAAAACCAAAATCAAACAAACAACAACAAAAAAGTAGTATATAAACTGCCTCCCACACTGTTGAATATGTTCCTTTTAAATGTTAATATCATAGAACATGATACATTTGCTTAGCAACTGGCTTACATGACGAGCATAAACTATGGAGGTAACAGACAGGTTTACCTCTAAGGCAAAACAGCAATCACTGACTGGCTCTGCATTGGGAAGTGAACAAAAAACATTTTCTATGAATAATAAAAGAAAAATGAAAAAAAAACAGAAACAAAAAAAACCAAAAAACATTTTCTTTCCCCTCAAATCAAGAACCTAGAAATTCCCACATTGGAACAGATTAAGGTCTTTAATCTTGTGATCAGCATTTTATAATATAATGGATTTAATTTTGTGGGATAGTAAAGCTGACATCAATATTAAAAGACTCCATGGTATGATGATTTCCCTTAATAACCTCTAAAGAATTAGATATAAATTTACCTAAACCTTTTAAAATACACTTTCAGTCTTTATGCCCAAATACATTCAGTAATTTGTTTAATATTAAACACATATGTGGCATAACTCTGAAGTAAGTTAGAGTAATAAAACAGAACTCATAATCTGAAGGGGAAATAAATAATCAATCTATTAAAACAAGAAATAAAATATACATAGGAAATTTTAATAACCAACGAAGTTGGGAAAATGATATGGCGATGTGCTGCCAATTTGGGGCCAGAATCAGTATTTTTTTATTTTATGTACTATGTAGCAGGCACTGTTTTAGGTGCAAGGGAAACAATAATGAACAAACCAATCAAAAATTCCAGTCCTATGAAGTTTACATACTAGTGTTTCAAATGGAATTATTACAATAAACAGCCCTGGAAAAAGCTTGGCTGTGAGTCTATGGTTTCCTGGTTACACTGTCGGTTCCAAGGGTAAGAGTCTCCTAGGCAATCACTAAATCACACAGGGAAACTTAAGGAGAACATTCTTCACCCCTGACTCTCTGTTGGCTTTGCATTTAATGAAAAAATATGAGAGTCAAACAAGACAAAAAAACACGTGAGTCATATTTGGAAGCTTTCTTTGAGTAGATCCAGAATTTAAGTGAAAAATATTGCTAACAAACTACATAATTTTTAGTGGCATATTTCCAAACTCTATGTACTTTGGGCTGAAGACTATATTATACAACATATTTTGCTTTTTTCCTATAAGTAGGACTTAGGCCAATAAGATTTCCATATCCCAGCATCAGAGATGAATCTCAAATATTTTAGGCAACAGGATAATGGCACATTATTCTATTTTATTACTGGCAGTTTTCTTATTGATTTATTGAAATTTGGACAACTCACTTTAGCTTACAAGAGTTGATCTACAGAAATATACATTAAAAAAAAAACAAAACAAAAACCTTCAGTCCTATCACTTGCTCTCCATATGAAAATTTTTACAATTCCTGAGTCAATATGTTACATTAAAGTCAATCTAGAGAATCAGAAGTTGTTTATTTGTTTACAAACCTGCATTCCCACTGCCATTAACAGCTTCCTTGTCCTCATCTTCTTCTTCTTCAGGAAGAGAGCTGTCCATTCTTTCCATCTTGCTAACAGATGTAGTTCGTTTTCTTTGGGATTCTGTGTCAAACTCATTATCAAAGAGGACCTGATCAACAGGATCTGGCTGGAAAGGGCTGGGTTCTGCTGGAGGCTTAGGAGTTCCATAGAAGTTTCCTAAAATAGACAGGTAACAGCAGCTGAAAGCACTAATAGTTTTTTTTTTTTTATTACTCATATGTGCATACAATGTTTGAGTCATTTCTCCCCCCTTCCCCTTGCTCCCTCCCTTACCGCCCCCCTTGCCCCCTCTCTTACCTCCCCAACCCCTCGCTACCAGGCAGCAACTATTTTGCCCTTATCTCTAATTTTGTTGAAGAGAGAGTATAAGCAGTAATAGGAAGGACCAAGGGTTTTTGCTAGTTGAGATAAGGATAGCTATACAAGGGAGTTGACTCGCATTGCTCTCCTGTACATGTGAAAGTACTAATGTTGTAATGAATCAGAATAGTAGGGTCTAGTGTGCATCTCTGTTCCGTTTCTGACACTGAAGTTTTTGAACATCTACCATGGAGCAAAAGAAGACCAAGCCACACTCTGGAAGAGGAGGTGGAAGAAACAGAAAAAACTAATTTCTCTTATATTTTATCAGATACTTCCTAACCATTTAATACTATTGTACTAAGACCAGGAAGTCGATTATATATATATAGATTATTCTGATAGGGCTTGCTTTATATGGATTCTGAATTAGGGTCTAATTTTTAAATTAAAAGTCTCAATGCTCTCATGCAAGACTAATTTAAATAAAAGGTAGAAGTAAACTGAATCATATAATTTTGTTCTAATGTACATAATGAACTATTTTGGTAAAGCAAGGAAGTATGTGGGCAAAGGATAAAGCTAAGAATTAACTAGTTTATATACAAGTGTAAGCTGTTTATATAATTTTAAAAAGTTTTCTGTGTATTCTAATTATATTAGTCTATCTGACAACATATTGAGCCAATAGAAACATTATTAGCCTAATTCAATACTGGCTTACTCTCAAAAAAGCAACACTTAAATGTTCTCTTGAGGATCAGCAGTACAAATAAATGTTCCCGAACAGAATGAAAACAACTGAGTATCTTCTCAATTTGTCATGTAGTCCTGATTAGGCATTCCACAGGTCTACATGAACAGTTTGCTGTTCCTGCTAGCTTTGACCTTTTATCAATCATTATGGTGATGTTATAGAAAGATAAATATAGTTAGGAACTAAAATACTCATGATCTTTTTTCTGTTGCTGCTTGTAAAAAAAAAATCACACCTTCTATTCAAATTCTTTGGCTACAAAGGAGGCAATTTAAGATGCTCATTCACATAAAGGAAATTAAGGAGGTAGGTGGATTTTTTTCTTGATAGAATAAAATCATAGGCTGGTTCCTGTAACACTGAGACAAATCTAGAAATTACATGGTTTACCTTAAAACAGTCATGTTGGTGGAGAAAGCATTAAGATGAATTCTTTGGAAGGTGTGATGGAGTGATGACTATTAAATTAGAATATTATTAAAACAGTCAAGAGAAAACAAAGAAATCAAACTAAAAGGCTTTCAACTATGTCCTGTTTCTCCCCTCAATGACTTCCTTACTTCCTAATCCATGGCTAAAATAGGTTACTCAGGGCACACAGATGGATGCAAGGATTTGTATCAAAACAGACTAGACTACTGGCAAATGTTCTGGCCTGTAAGTAAAGGAAAGACACAAGGGAAAGCCAGTTCACAGCTCACAAAGGGCACAGAAATGATCTAAGTGGGTATTTGGATAGGGAATCTAACGTTCTATGATCTCGTCTTTTCCTGTACTCGGCCCAGTAATCACACTATCAAAGAGTCTGATGTACCATGATGGTTTAGTCTACTTTTTCTAAGAATGGTAGTAATATTACTAGAAACACATTTTACTGTGAATTCTTAGTAATTACTATTTAACTCTCAGAGATTTAACTGAAAGTTAGAAAAATGAAGGATATTGTATCTGCTATCCATGGTCACTAAAAGATTTGAGGTCTTCATAACACATTTTGGCTTTCTCCTTATTCAAAAAAAAAAAGATAATTATGGGCTTAGATTAAAAAAGAAAATACACTTGCCTACATTGGAGGCCTGGGTTTAATCCCAGCACTGGGGAAAAAAAAGCTAGCATTGTTTATAAATTAAATTTCGTCTTTTTTCTTGAATTATTGGTAAATATCTAAATTGCAGATGTAGTAAGGAACAAATTTCTAAGATTTGTGAACCCTGATTATAATTTTTATCAAAAAATGTTTTAATAATTTTACAGCTATTTTGGAGATTTTCTCTTCTACAGGTCTTTTCATTTGTAAGTAAAACTATCACCATTTACTATTTCAAACATATGTAAAATTACAGATAATACTATCAGAATCATATTAAAGTATCTATTTTACTTATGTACGTTTGCTTATATGAGCACATATATATTCACTTATTTACACACACATCCTTCACATATTAACTATTGCGAGATTTCCTAGGAATCTTTAAGGGCACACGTATATGGTCACACATACAACTAAAGCCCCAATTTCCTGTCCCATCCTTCCCACTTCCTTCCTGAGCAGCCCTCACATTGGTGTGTGTCATTCTCCCAAATACTGCATATCTCTAGGACATGGGTATTTGCACTCATAACATGCAATACTATTATTTTTACTGTTTTTAAAAAAGCTTCACAGTGTTTCATGTTCTATTTTTTTTCACAAATAGTATATTTCTGCAACAGTCTTTTATACAACTATACTTCTAAAAGGTATTCATATTGATACATATTTCATTCATTGTCAGTGGTGGGGATATAACTCATGACTTTGCACATGCTAGTGGCAAGGGCTCTGCCACTGAGCTACATCCCCAGCCTTTGGTTTTTGAGGTAGGCTCTTACTATGTAGCTCAAGCTTGCCTTGAACTTGATATGTAGCCTCACACTCATGATCCTTCTGCTCCCACCTTCAGAATGCCAGGATTATAGGCATGACCCACCATGCCTGGCTCATTAACAGCGCACTTTTATGAACAAAAATTAAGATGTGTTTTATTCATTTCCCTACTAAAGAAGAATTGTTTCCATTCTTTCACTGTCTCAGACAGTGCTCTAGTGGGCATTCTGGTGCCTATTTACATATGCACATGGGCAATGATTTCTCTAGAGTAGACATCTACATAAGGACTTCAAGGTCAGAGTTATATACATCACTAAATTTACTAGCTATTGCCAAGGTACTCTCCAAAGAGGTTGTGACATTTTATACTTTTGCCAGCAATGTACAGATTTCATGTCTTGCAATTACCAGACTTCAAAATTTTTGCCAATCTGATGAGTGTGGAATGAGTATAACTGTTGTTTTATATTGCATTTCCTTTGAACTAAACACACAGTAGCATATATATGTTACTTTGTCATATACCAAGTTCTTGTGCTTCATGGGGGAAAATGTGGGAGAGTATCTTTGTGATTTAAGGGCAGAATACTTTCTAAACAAAACTTTCAAAACACAAATCATAAGGAAAACAGTGCTAGAACAGATAGAAAATTAAAGATTTCTGTCTAATGAAGAAATACATGGTAAGGTTAATAGGTAACAGAAGGGAAAAATATCTATGCCCAGTAAAAGATTAATATCTAAGTATGTAAGGGAACTACTTAGGCTAGAAAGTGACTGGAATTCTACTTTTAAAAAAAAAGGGCAAAGCAAATGGATGCACAACTTGCAGAAATTCCAAGAAGAAGCTCAAATTCTCAGACTATCAGAAAAAATAAAACTAAAATGAGAGACCACTTTCATAACCTTTAGGTTGGCAAAATGATGAACTTGAATAATGCCAAGTATTGAGAATGTGGAACCATTACTACAACTGCAACAGGAACCCTCTTGCACTGGCTGGGGGGATCGGGGATAGGAAAGCGATCCAATGACTTCATCTGACTGAGCATATATACCCTCTATTCAAGTCAACAGTCCTACTCTTGAGTATATATTCCACAGTTACTCTCACACTTCTGTAAGAAGACACAAGCATGAGTGTTCAATGCAGCTTCCTATGTGGTAATGATAAGACTATCAATAGGAGAAGGGTTAAGGAAAATGCAACAGATTCAAACTATAGATACTATGCAGAAACTAAGTGCATAGATTATATATAAATACAGTATAGTAACATGGAGGAATCTGACAAACATTGAATAAATGAAAAAAAACTGAATGAGACAGAGAACACAGTTCAGATGTAAATAACAAATATACACACAAGACACGATACACATTTTGTGAAGGCACATAAAACAAACCATACATATTAAATGCATCAGAATGGCTAACTATAACAGGGAAGCTATTTGCACAGAAGTAAAAACAAGTAAGGAGCTGTCCATTCCTCTGGGAAGTCTTCACTGCTCATCTTATCTAAAAAAGATATTCCTATCCTTTTCCTTAAATTCCTTATCTTGTTCTGTCCTAACATCTCAATTTATTCTTATTTTGTTTTTTACTGCCTTTTCCACTAAGATCTAGGATTCATTAAGGCAGTAGCACCTCACTCTTGTTCATCACAGAATCCCTAGATCCTCTTACAGTGCTTGACATATACGGGTACTAACAAAGGTTGCTGAATGAATGAAACAGGATCAAATAAATGAATGAGTGAGTCATGGAAGCTAAGCCTAGAAAGAGTAGTTAGGTCAAATTTAGCAGGCAAAAGGAAATGACTAGAGTTCTGACTAGGAGAGGGATGGATCAGAGGTGTGCTTGAGGAAGATGAGCATGGTAGCAAAGGGCAGGTGGATTAGACAGAGGTAAGAAACTGAGCAAAAGGGATCAACTGCAATAGTCCAGACATGAACTTATCCAGTAGGCCTACAATGAGGTAGTAAAAGAGAAAGGAAGGGCATTGTGAAGACTGCTACAAAGGAAGAAATGACTAGATGTGGTACTGACTGAAGTGAAATGCAAGAAAAAGGAGGAAGTAAATGATGATTGCACTGTTTGGAGCATGTTGGTGCTGCTGAGAGAAATTGTGAAGAATGTGGATATGCTGAGCTCAAGGTTAGATACTTATTGAACACTGTCTGTACGAACTAAAGGTAACACCAGGTAAGAAAGATAGGATCCCTGCTATCACAGCGTTTATAAAACAGGCAATTGTAACAGTATGGTAAAGCAAGGATGGAGAAGTATAGGGCACCATGGGAATCGAGGAACTTGCTAGGAAAAAGCATGTTGGATAAGAAAAAAATAGATGTCTAACATGGAATCATCTCAAAATTGAAACTGACCTCAAATCTCTTCTTTCTTTTGTTGTTTGTGCCTCCCCCACCTATATTTTCTTTCTTCCAAGTTAAAGTTCATGTAGGTTTTTTAATGTGAACAGATTTTGGATTCTCAACACAAACATGAAGCCATCAACAAATATTTGCTGAGTTCAGATGATGAATGTGAATTTCTGTGAAAAATGTAGACTACCCAGTTTGGCTGACTTAGTATATTGTTCACAATTAAAGTTTTAATATGGTGGAATGGTTTTGGTTATTGTTCAATCCCATTTTCATTAATAAATTACAAATCTCCTAATCCAAAAAAAATTTTTCCAAAAAACTTTTTAAAAATGGTATTTGATCAAATTCCTTCTGAAAGAATTCCAGTTATTTGGGTAGCTTCCTGGGTGCTGTTAATATTTGGGGACATACCATCATACGTTCCACTTTCTAATAATGCTCCACTCTCTTCCAGTGCTTTGAACTGCTCAACAGAAATGAAATTATAGTCCACCCCTGGAACTTCCCCATCCCTGGGGGCCCTTGTAGTGCCTAAAGAAAAAAAGAAAAAAGGAAAAAATATGTAGGTTGTAAAGTGCTTTTTAAATTACAAAATATTCAGAGTAATAGAAAATTCATTTTATGCAGAACACATGGGAGACACAGCCTATTGAATATATGCATGGTACCTGCTAGAATGAGAATTGGAATATTTTAGGCAACTTAATATTATTCAGTGAAAGTAGCACAATAAATGTAGAATGAGTAAATATATTTCAATACAATAGTCATAAAATTTAAAACTATAAAAACCCTAAGATAATTTTAGTTCCCCAAAGGCTTAATTTCCCAATACATAACAGTTCATTCTTTTTAAACCTCATTCTTAACAGCAAAAACTAATAACAGACTTCATTTCCTCCCTCTAACCTTAAGGTATACTGACAAATAAAAATTGTATGTGGTAACAATGTGGTGTTCTGATGTATGTACACACTGTGAAAGACAGACTTCATTTTTAAGTAGCTAATGTGTACATTTTTCTTCCCTTACAACAATATAAGCCACATTCTGCTTACTAGAGTCATGAAAGAGAAACATTTTATAAGTTCTTTTAATGAATTTTATTTTAAAATTTGGACAAATATTGATTATGAAGTTATTTTAGACTAACGAATAAAATTAAGAAAGGTGTTCAAATATTGCTTCTTAGTCATTTTCTTAAGTAATTTCTAAAAACTAAGCATTAAGCAAACTATTATAAAACTGGCTATAGAAACAGGTAACTAAATTACTATACAACTGGGCTGGTGGAGTGGCTCAAGTGGTAGAGCACCTGCCTAGCAAGTTCAAGCCTCACTACCACAAAAAATTACATAATAAAGAATTCATGAAAGAGTAAACTCTTTCTTTTAGAAAGAGTACAAATTCAGGTTACAGCAACATTGCTGTATTTTACTGAATTTTACTAAATAAGACTCAGTTACTTCTATGAACTGATATTTGAAATGTCATTTCAAATACTACATGATACAAAAAAAAAAGATCCAGGTTTTAGCTGGGAAAAGATACATAGAAGTCCTGTGCAAGGAGGCCTTAACAAACCTGTCCTCCAACTGGGTCCTAACCTGAGACTCAGTCATCTTAGTGCTTCCATCTGCTCGCATCTACTCACCAAAGCCACTGATTCACCTCCTAAATACCTGAGACACCTCTCTTAATTCCCACAGTCACCTAATTCACATAATCTATGTCTTGTACTGTTGGACACCTCCCCCATACAAGTCAACCTTTTCCTTTCCCTGCCCAAACTTTCCCCCCACCAAACTGCAGTCAGTGACTTTTCTAAAACAATAATCTGAGCAAAAAAAAAAAAACCCAACAAAACCCCTCTGTAAAACTACTCAATGGCTTCCCATGATCCTTGGCACAAAATTCAGACTCTATAACAAGACATTGCTATTGGGCCCTTTGCAATCTGGCTCCTGACTACCTACAGCTCTTTCTTGCCTCACCCTTTCACATTCCAGGATTCTACCATAACAGATTTTCTCCCCAGTTCTTTAATGTTCCTTGCACTCACTTATCTCCAATAAGTGAGTCTTTTGTCCTTTCCCCAGAGGACTTTATATTCCCCTTCCTAGCTCTGGCTCCTACTTGTCTTTCAGGTCTCGGCTTAGAAATTTGCTTTAGAGAATCTTCCCTGACTCACATCTAGGGTGATGATGTGCAGAAACCATATCTATCTGATTCTGCCCCAAAGGCTTGGCATGATGCAAGGATCTTAATGAGTACTCAATACTTAACTGTCAAATTAAGTGAAAATTCAAGTAAATGTATTAGCACAGTGTCTAGTGTTATGCTATTATTATTATAAATTAATTCATGGGAAACTCATAATTGTTCTACTTTTTATATTCTGTAGTGTATGAAAAAATCCACATAGATAATGTAATACATTTATGATGATGATCTGAGAAAATAATGGTTAGGCCAACATTCTATGCGAAAACTATATTGAATTTATTCCTTCCCTTTTAACCTAAATTGTTCTAAAATTAATCATTTCTTTATCTCTTTTGTATGACAGAGAATTAAAAAACTGGAAATATAGCTTCCTTTTTTAGCATAATGCATTCTTTCATTTTAAAATTTTTGTGTTTCTCATATGTTAAACAAACTATATTTTTAGGTTTCTTAAACCAATAGCTTTTGCCTTCATATTAAATAAAAATTAACTTTAGGAAGCAAATGGTTAAAATTATTTATAATTATCTGAGGGAAAAAACATACCTACAATATTTTAGACCTCATCCCATTAAAGAGATGAGGCCTTTAAATCTAAACTGGATTTATGATTCATTTTAATTTAATGGAGAACATGATGTTGTACAAGTTTAGGAATCTCTATTTCCATCTTCACCCTCCTGGAATGTTCCCACTGTCATGCATGGAAGTTCGGGTTAGACTACTGCAGCCACATGAGCGTCCCAGCTGAGCCCAGCCAACATATGGAGTCATGAGAAATAAGCACCAAACTCTAAGGTGGTCTACTATACAGCAAAGGTTAATTGAGATATTATTCAAATAAACTCCACTGTAAGTGTAATGACTATGTAAAACCCAATTTCAGGGCAAGCCACATAATGGATAATACTATAACAAGAGCACTGACCTAAGGGGCAGGAGAACCTCTGTTTTGGTCTTGGATTATTATTAATGGTACAATTTGGAGCAAGCACTTAACCTCTCTGGGATTCATTCCCTTTTGCAAAGTGGTTTTGAGCAAGATGGTATTCGCGATTCCTTCCATTAGTAGATATGCTGTTAAGTGTGATTCCAATATATAAATTTCCAAGACTTCGTCAGTAACTTTAGTGTTAATTCTCTTACAAAGTATTATAAATTTTCATTTCCTCCATATAAACCATATAAACTGTACATATAAAAGTTCTCTTGCTTTCCCTACACTATTGCCTCAGAATTCCAGAAAACTTATTTTTACATTTTCCTGATACTCCATATATTTTATGTAAAGCTTTCTACACACCCTTCATCACTTACACTACATTTCTCCTTTTCACACAAAATTCCTACAAAGAGTTCTATTCACTTACAGTCTCTACTTCTCTCATTCTCTCTTGAACACATTCCAATCAGATCTTTGCCCTGACTGTTCACTAAGATAATTTGCCATGTTTACTAGTAGTTTCCACTTACCTTAACTCAACGGTCAGGTCCCATCTTAGTCATCATACTACCTTGTCCTAAGATCACATGATATAACTAACCATTCTCCCTTTGCCTGTTTTGTAAATTCATGTGAATGGCATTATATGATACCCATTCTCTTCTGTCCACAAAGGACACTTGTTATCGGGTTTTAAAGCTTTGGCCAAAATGTTGATTGTGTAAAGGCACCTCACTGTGTATGTAATGTGCAATTGCCTTAGGAGATTAAACATTGTTTTTCATGTATTTACTGGTTGCTATGGCTTGAATATGGTTTATCCCCATCTCAACTCATGTTTAGGCTTGGTCCCCAATTTAATGATGTTGAGAGGTAGTGGGGTGTTCTGAGATGTTGGGACCTTTAAGATTTAGTAATTATGTCATACGGCTCTCATGAAGTATTAATGTGGTTCCTGCAAGAGTGGTTAGTTGTCATGTCTTATATTGATGGATTCCTATAAGTTGAACCATCTTTACAATGGAGATGTAAATCCCACCTGGTCATAATATATGATTCTTTTAACTGAATTAGGTTTGCTAGTGTTTTAAGATTTCTGGGTCAATATTTATAATGGATATTGATCTATAGTTTTCTTGTCTTTGTTTGAGTTTAGTGTCAGGGTAGAAAGCTGGAATGAGTGTGGGAGTGACCCCTCTCTTTCATTCTCTGAAAGAATTTGAAAAAGATTGGTATTAATGAGTGCTAAACATTAGACAGAATTTTCCAGGGAAGCCATGTGGTCCTGGGCTTCTCTTTGTTGGAAGGCTTTTGACTACTGCTTCAATCTCCTCAGTAGTAACAATCTGTTCAGATTTTTTTCATGATTCAGTCATGGTAGGTTTACTTTTCTAGGAATTTTATTTTTTCTAGGTCATCTAATTTGCTAGTATATAATTATTTACAGTATTGCCATAATTCTTATTCCTGTGATGTAAGTTGTAATGGCTCTTCTTTCACTTCAAATTTTAGATATTTGAGTTTTCTTAGTCTAGATAAAGGTCTGCCAACTTTATTGGTCTTTTCAAAAACCACCTATTGGTTTTGCTGATTCTCATATTGTTTATCTATTTTTCCATTTAATTTATTTCTGTTGTAGTCTTTTATTATTTCTTTCCTTCTACTGACTTTGGGTTTAGCTTATTCCTTTTCTGATACTTTGAGGTATAGGTTTAGATCATGGATTTGAGATTTTTCTTCTTTTTTAATGTACATGTTTTCTGCTATAACTTCCCTCTTCATCTTGCTTTCACTGCACTCCATGTCTTATATGTTGTATCTTCATTTTTATGTCTGTAGATATGTTCTAAATTCCCTGTGATTTCTCTTCTGACCTACTGATTGCTTCAAGGTATATAATTTAATTTCCATACAATAGAAAAATTTTCCTGCTTTCTTTCTGTTATTAATTTTAGTTTCATTTCATTATCATCAGAAAAGATACCTTTTATAATTTAAATCTTAAATTTGTTAAGATTTCTTTTGTGGCCTAACACATGGTCTCTTGTAGAGAATGTTCCATGTATGTTTGGTAAGAACGTACACTCTGCTTTTGTTGGTAGAATGTTCTGTAGATGTCAGTTGGGTCCATTTGGTCTATGTGTTACTCAAGTCCTCTCTTTTCTCACAGATTTTTTTGTCTTGTTCTATTTAATTTCCTTTTATTGCTGAGTAATATCCCATTGTATGGGTATTCGAATGTTTGATTATCTATTCACCACTGAATGTCCATTATAAGTAAAGCTGCTACAAACTTACAATTCTTTGGTAGCCATATATTTAAATTTATGTTGGGTTAATACGTAGGCATGGAATTGATGGG